GCAGGTTTAATAGAAACCTCTGCGATCGAGAAAATTAACATGGCCGAGCAGCCGACCCAGAACGGCAGCCAAACCACTCAAAACCTCCGGGCACTCCGTGACACGGGGTACGAAACTGAGCCGGAGTGCGGGAACGGTCGCGTCCCCTCTCTCAGTTTCGGAGAGGAAAGCCCCTCCAAGGAGAAACCTTTTGATGTGGACTGTGGATCTCAGGACATTCAGTATGCAGATGCAGATGCAGAAGCTTAACGCTAGCCACAAGAGACTTGATCCCTCCTCTCGGCACAGAGAGCGCAGGGGGCCGCGCTTTTTCTGCATTTGCAGCTTCTGTCCAGGGCACAACATTTTTGTAAGGCATGAGAATCCCGAGGCCCAGATCGGGCATTCCCGCTCGGTTGTAGAGTTTTAACTCCCGCTGTTTGATTTTAGGGCTAATGGTGATGGTGAAGCAAAAAAAAGAAGCAAAAAAACAAATGTATTCAAGGAAGCTGCAGCTCCTTCAGCTTAGCCCAGCAAGAAAAGCTATTACTTTTTTTGAATTTTTGTCAATTTTCTTTTTAAACATTCCAAATTGGAAACATTGTTTACCAAATTGGTAAGTTACTGTGACGCTTTCCAAAGTGCAGTCACATTTCTATATAGCCTGGGGGGGAGGGGGGGGGGGGCATTTGAAGCATTTGCATCTCTTTACTTTTTTTTTTTTTTTTTTTTTTTTTTTTTTAAAGCAGTGAATACTTCATTACACAGTGAATGCTTCAGTATTACATTGATTTCTCAGGGAAGAGTTGCTCAGTATATTGTAGCCTAGGTTAGCACAGCGTCACCACCCGGAGCATGTGGGCGTTAATCTCTCCCAGTGAACTGGCAGTAAGAGAAGGAATCAAACTGTTTGTACCACTGTGTTTCCTGCGTGCAGACTCTCGTGTTTTATTAGTATTATTATTATTTTCCTTCCTGTGAAATCGACATTCCCCACACAGATACAACTCTGGTCGTCCTGTGTATTAACCCTTGTCGGAGATCTTTCCATATGTGGTCTGTTAATAATGTAAAAATGTACAGTGTGACATGATTAACAAAAAAGGGGGGCAACATCAGAAGTTATTTTTTTAATTGTAATTTTATAAAGCCTTCAGTTTTAGACAATTTTCAGAGAATTATTATTTATAATGAGTCACATCTGTGGTAACATTTTGTCTAACTAGTTGTGATCTTCATCCTTGTTGTTTTAACTTTTTTTTTTTTTTTTTTTAAATTTATTGCAGCTGATTTGAACTTTTTAGGCCATTCATTCGTCATCCCTTTGTCTGTTTGCATGCCAGCCCCTGTTTGAATTTCTTGTTTTTTCCTCAGTACTTTTTCTTCCGTCACTCCCTCTCACAGCCTCCTCTCCTGTCGCCACTTCATCTTCCCTGTCCTCTTCTGGAGGTAGCACTCCCTCTGCACTCCCTTCCTCCTTTCCCCATTCCTCTTCTCCCTCCTCCACGAAGCCCCATAACGCGGAGGCTCGGGAGGCCGAAGTGAGACTATTGCCTCCCCTGCTGAAGGACCAGGCCTGGGGGGTTCACGCGCAGGAGGCCTTCCTTCTCTTCTGCCTCGCCCTGGGTGAGTGGTGCATGTGACATAGGCTGAGCTCACACCCCAGAATCTAAATCCTTCAGAAATTTCTTCCTTTCGCTTTTTAACCCATCACTCTCGCACATTCACTCTCCTCTCCTGCATCTCGCATGTTGGCAAACATCAGCTAACTGGGAGTGAGTGCGAGCATGTCAGAGTTCCTGTTTGTGTGTAACAAGTGATCCTCCCTGCTTTTTTTTTCTGTTTGTGGGAACGATTGACCTCCATTTTTAAGAGTATTTCATTAAAAAAACAAAGCAAACGTGAATGTTTAAAAAGATTAAGCTGGGATTCATTAAGCTGGAAAACTCAGTGATCGGGTCCAGTGACCACACTCTGACGGACGGACAGATCCTCCTTATCCAGGATATTAAGAATCTTTCCTCAAAACAAAGTTTAGTGGGTTCACTTTTCTTTATCCAGATCATTTTTGTGCCTGTAAACAAATGTAAATATATTTGTATATATGGGGAAAAAATACAATTTGACAATGTACATAAAACTAGGTGACGTAATGGGGCTGTGGTTCTTGGTAGGGAGGCAAAATAAAAATGTAAAACGTTTGCAACCCTTGTTTGTTTTTCTTTCTTTCTTTTTTTTTAAACTATCATCATCCGTTGTATTTTCAAAAGATAAGGGCTCCATAGAGAGGACAGATACATACTAATTAGAAAATGTTTGCCTATCAGACCTGAGATCAGGCAGCATGCATGCTCACTGATTGATGACCACAGGTGGACCAACCAAAGGCAAGTATTTCATGCATGTCTCAGTGGTGCCTTAAACATCAGAGGTCAACATCAATTCTGTCCCACAGGTCCCAGTGATGTCCACATTCACTGGCTAGTAAACGGGCACAGTCTGGACACCCCCATAAAGGAGTACCGTCGGCCGCTTGGTCAGAGGGAGGTTTTAGTGAGCAGCTGGCTCCAAGAGGGGCCGCTGATCAAGGACGCACGGTATAACTGTGTTGCTGAGGCCAGCACAGGAAATGACGTGTCTGAAGTTGACCTCCGGCTCTCTATTGGAGGTATCAGGTGGAAAATATTGACTATAGTCCTGCATGCAGAATGGAATTGGGAGTGTTCTGGACTGGCTGTTTCCATTGGCAGAGATGGATAATTGCACTGGTTTATTTCCATAAAGCGTGTTGTTGTTCGACAGATGAAGAGAACATTCCAACCCGAGATTTGAGCCAGTGGAGAGGTGCGCTCGCAGAGCACGAGCAACTGCTAAAGAGATGGGAAAAGGCCTGGGTAGGTCTGAGTGTGCTGTCTTCTCCGGTCAGTCGCCTGGATTGTGTTTGTGTCACGTGCGTCGGTTTTAACCTGCTCTGCATGTTCAGCTTTAGGCTGCCAGGCTGTTTTCGTCAAGAGTACTGGAGAAGTGCAAAGTCCAGGTTTTTATAGCAGCAATAACACGAAACGAGGGATGCGAAGAAAGAGCTAGTTCAAACGAAATGAGGGTCTGATTTAAGGGCTTTGAAGCTTTGAAGTGCACTTGTTTAAATACACCAATCATTAACCTGACTACAGCTTTAAATGCCTTTAACGTCATGTATCTAACGGTGTTGTACGAATCGCATGTTCTTTTAACCATATTTTGTAAATTGCATGAGTAACTAAAAGCTTATGTTCCTTTTAGAGAAGCTGCTAATGAGATTCCTCCTTCAATACAGGCACGTGTGAGTCTTGTGACATTTAACTAAATTTCCTAAATTTCTTGATGTTGCTGAATTTACTGGACATTTTTGACTAATATCTAACTAATATCAGTCTGTCTTCCTAGAGAGAAAACAATACCTGTAGGTCACGAATGGGTTAACTTAAGTATCGCCAGATACTTAAGCTGATTAAAAGCAGTGCATTGGTTATTACAGAATTTTAAAGTCAATGACTCAGTACTTTTCTCGTGGCTTTAAAATGGGGGAAATAATTATTTGATCTCTTGCTTAATTTGTAAGTTTGCTCATTTACAAATAAATGAAAGTGTCATATTTTTATGGCAGTTTAATTTTAATGGAGGCAAGTAATAAGTCATGATTTGCTTGGGGATCAAATACTTCTTTTACATTATATATGTGTCTTTTCTGGGTTTTTGGTTAATAGTCTGCCTCCATTAAAATTATACTACTATAAAACTTAGACTGTTACCTTCGTTGGACGTGAGCAGGGGATCAAACAATTATTTCCCCATCTGCATGTGCAGTTGTTGAAATGCATCAGTACTACTCCCAGCATTTCTCTTGTGTAATTAAATCGCACTGCTTGCGTAGTACAGCTGTGTTTTTTCCCGCTTTAGGAAAGCTGTGATGACCACAGAGCTCTGTGAAGAGTTGACTTGGCTGAATCTGGTTGCGAACATGGTCCTCCATCCAGGTGGACCACACCTTTGACACTGAAACTGTCAAAAAAACAACAATGCCACTTCTTAGATAGGAGTTTGGGGGACCATGAAGCAACACATTTACAATCTGCCTCCTGCAGGGGTGAGGGCAGTTGGGGGGGTTGGGGTCACCTATATGCAGTGATAATGTGGGAGTCTCCGACCAAACTCTGCAAGGAGATGAAGCTCATCAATCTGAGAACACGTGGGCTGCCTTTGTACCAAAAATACATTTCTGTCAAACGTCCTGAGAGCAGTGCTTGTAAGGAATGTTTCGCATTTTTAAAGCGATGGAACATGTCAAATGTTTATTGTGAGATTCATTTTAAGATGTTTGCACCTTCGCTGGCTTCAGAAGCTTCTGTCAAGTCCATCATAGCTACTTGGAATTTGTATAATCTTGAGTGAAAATGTCTTTAATCATCGAGCCCAAAACCCAATTCGTAGGATTTGATGGCAGGAATCGGGCCTGTAGCTCTCTTTTAACAACATGCCATCAAAATGCAAAATTTATCTTAAAAGAAATGCAGTTCAGCCCAAGTATGGAAACTTTTGTCACACTCACTGCTTTTCATGTTATTTTCTTCACATTAAAACTGTGACTACATATTTGACGCTGTAGCAGAAATAAACTGTTTAAATGCTGTCGCTTACGTCATGATGCCTTCAAGTTTAACACATTCTAGTGTTTAAATTACATGTGAACAGATGGTAAATATAATCAAGAATTTTCTTTGAAAATCATGTATAGTTAATGCCTTTACTGAAATCTAATTTAAAAAAGTTTTACCGGTAAGCTGATTTTGACACTTGTGCCTCAGATTTGTAGACTTACAGCAATTTATCTTAAATTGTTTTTAATTTGGTTCTCCGTTAAGTTTCTTTTAATGTATGAGGCACATTTCTGTATTTCAGCACAACACTGGTTTCATGGTGGTGTTTAGTGGAGCCACACCACCCTCTTGTGACCACTTACAGGAACATAACCCAAAAACAGGAGGTGGTTAGCAGGTTGTTTATTACTGTAAAGGTCAGAGCATGACAATTAAACAAATGTAACTGAACACACAGAGAGACTGACACCAGATTTGACCATCTCTAATTTATAAATTCGGTTTGAAGTCAAAGAAGATTTCTTCCTCCTTTCTCCGCAAAAAAACAAAAAAAGGCAAACAAATCAGAGGGATTACATCAAAAAGCTGAGAAATTCACATGCTGCAGTGAGCAGCCAGACAGTATACACTTAATAATCTTAAATAAAAGATCACAGGAGGACTCTTCCAGTAGTGCGAGGGTGGGGTCTTGTGTCATTGCTTCGGAGGTAGAGGTCTTCTGAACAGAAGGATGTGTGGCTCTAGGAGAACAATAGCAGACAAATATACAAACAGGTTAGTGACCTGAGGCCTGATCATTGTGTGTTTTAAAGGCCTATTACCAGAATGATGTGCTACACTGTAGTTACAGCCAAAGTCCTACGACTCTGCAGCCATTCTGGTGATGCATCTTGGCATCTGGGCCTGCATTTAAATGAACTGGGAGAAAACCATTACTTTTGCTTTACTAGTCATCCAGACATAACAGTGCACGAATAGCATCAAAAATCAACTCCAACTTACAAGAGCTTTTAAGAACATAATGGATTTGCAGCCAAGTCCAGGTTGCCAACATTTCAGCAGCTCAAAAGCAAGCCAATAACATATTACATGCAGATTACCTGGTTCATGTATCATATAGTGGATCCATCCCTGGGACTGTTGCACTCCCAGCTGTCTCCACTCGTCTTCAGACATCAGGTGGGATTTTGGGATATATTTAGTCATCTCCCGAGGCAGAACAACATGTCTAGTGATGAGAACAAACGATTGTTAATAGTGGAGTGTAAATATCTTGTAAGGTTTGATGCAACTATCCTGTTGGACGACACCAGTTATGAGATATGATTTAAACTACAACCATGCAAAGTGTCAACTGGATCTTGCAGTTGTGATGTTATGTTGATAAAAACTGTCCAGAGACAGATATGTAGACAACATACTCAGTCTCTTAGGGAGTTCCTGCTATACAGGAGTCTCCAGGAACAAATGTTTCATCACGACTTAAAAAGTAAAATGCAGCCGAAAGTCATATGTGAATTGTCTACAGAAAAAAAAACACATACAGATCGATACACAGGTGCCAAATTAAAGGAAACCGCTATATTTAAGCCATTGAGTGGCTTGCTATGCTGTGCAGAGGATCTTGCAGGCGTGCCTTGAGTCCATGTATTCCTTTGCAGGGACAGGTCAAGCAGTGCAAATCAATACAAAGTTGGCCTGAGGGGTCTTAAACGTATCTACTGTGATGGGTGGCAAAGATATTAACTTGCTTTCAAAAATCTTAATATAAAAAATGGTCACATTTGCCAACATACCAAGATGACAAAGCTCTGCTCATTTAAACCTCAGATGTTTCAGTGACTATAATCCGACTGACTTCTTGTATTTGTATTGTTATACCCATTATGAACTTCCAAAATCTTCCCCCTTGACAAATACATTTCATAAAAAAATAATTTAAAAGCCTAAAACTAGCAATGAAATTGATTAAAAACTAAAAACTTTAACCCCCCCCCCAAAAAAAAAGAAGAAACGAGAAAATTCATACTGGAAATTAACTGAAGCAATACTGAAAATGTGAACTAACTCAGGGTGGTCGCTTCCTTTCAAGGAGCACTGGAGCTGTTCTGGCGACACCTGGCGGTCAGACTTTCACTTTACAGCCACTAAAAGTTTGTCACCGTAATGGTGGTGTTCCCATTGAACGGCAACATTCAATGGGATTATTATTCTACTATTACACCTCCACCAAAAAAAAAAAAAATTTTTTATATATATATATATATATATATATATATATAGTCCCCAGGGTTTGAGGTGTGGGGATTTTTGCGGCTCAGCCATTTTAGGCTGATTTAAGAAATTCACACTGAAATATTAAAATTGACAGAAAAAAAACTATCCTTTGGCAAATTTGGTTATATTCCACTGAACACAGTGGAAATGGCATGCATTTAAAACATGAAAGTGGCACAAAAAGGGCCCAGGATAGCCGGAGGGATATATATATATATATTTATTTATTTTTTTAAATCGCACTATCATGCAAAACTAGCATGACAAAGCTTAAACTTTGAAACCACCTCGTGTCGGTTGTCTACGTTTAATTTTTGGTAGAAAATATCCACTGAAGACGTCTTCTCTTTGTTGCTAATCTTTAGTTGACGTTACTAAAGTTAAACATGCGAACCAATAATACTCACCTGTACTCGTAATGGTCGTCACTGTACCTGTTGGAATAGTAGATCTGGTTCCGAGACATATTTACAGAAAAAAAAAATCAGGTTAATTATTAGAAAAGTTTTACGAGAAACTGGGGTTGTAGAATAACAACAAGTGCCCACCTGTAGCTCATTCCGTGCAGATTGCTCAAAGGTATTGATTGGACGACTTCTGTCATGTGACCAGAATTTCCCTCTTTATCGTAGTTCTCGAGCCGTCATCAAAGTACAGGTGAGTGTCTTAAGTTGTTTTCAGCCCTCTTTTGCAGTAGTTGTTCATCTTCACACAAAATAGAAACACAATATATCTCACCTGTTTAAATATGCATCACAACACTAAAATACACTACTGTGTTATTCCTGATGAGGATGGTTAAAATAAAATACTGTGTACTACTAGTTTCCTTAAAGCCTTATGAATTATCATCAGATAAAATTTTTATTTTCATTTCATCATAAGCAAGTGTGGCCAAATTTATACAAGATGACGTTTTGGCAGTTTGCTAGTGTGGAGTTTTCAGGTGTGAAGATTTACATCTCAGACTCTACAGGCCTCAGTTAGCATGTTAAATTCATCCAGTCACTTCTGCTTATCCTTATCAGGGTCACAGGTGGCTGGAGCATATCCCAGCTATCATAGGGCGGGTGGGGTACACCCTGGATGGATCGCCAGTCTGTTGCAGGGCTAACATAATCTACAGCAGAATGGCTCAAAAACAAAGGAATCAACATATTGCAATAGCCCAAGGCCCAGACCTCAGCCTGGTTGAAATGTTGTGGCAGGAGCTTTAGAGAGCTGTGCATATGAGAAGCAATGCTGTAAAGAAGTGTTGCGTGTTCTTTTTATCTAAGGTAAAAGAGGGTTTCAGTCCCTGCATATGGATCTCTTTCCCGTTAGAAAACCACAGTCTGCAACAGTTTGCTGTGGCCAGCTTCTGGAAGAGAGATGACCCCAACTAATAGTACACATATTTATAAAGGAGAATATGTTTCTATCTGATCGGTCAAAAACCATTGAGAAGGGCCGCAATTTGGACTTTAGCTCCTCTTATTGGCACCCTTCTTCTTCTCCATCAGGTACAGCTTCACCTAGGGATCACTAACTCCTCTCTCTCTCTCTCTCTCTCTCTCACACTCACTCACTCACTCACTCACTCACTCACTCACACACACACACACACACACACACACACACTCACACACACACACACTGGCCTGCCTCTTCCTAACCTGTAATCTAGTTTCATAGCCTGTGGCAGCATCTATCTGTGAGAGCTATTGTTTCTTGACCTTGCTCTGGTTCACTCCCGCATTCCTGCACACCGCCTTCCACAAAGTCTGCACAAACAACTCTCAAACCATCATCATCAATTAATGGTTTCTGAAATGGAAAAACTAAAAAAATGGTTTGATGTAAACAAATTATCTTTGAACTTGACAAAAACGAAATTTATGATTTTTGGAAATCGGGTAAGAGAGGATGAAGTAATTCTATCCATTGGTGGAGTTCCGATTGAGAGAGTTACTGAACTCATCTCATATTGAATATGTTAGAATAAGGATGGTTAAAAATATTTATATTCTGGGTAATGTCAGAGATATATTAGATTATAAGGCAATGCATATTTTATATTTCTCACTAATTTCCCCCTATCTCAGTTATTGTGCTGAGGTGTGGGGGAATACATACGTGACTTATATACACTCAACAAAAATATAAACGCAACACCTTTGTTACTGCTCCCATTCCCCATGGGATGGACGTAGAGACCTAAAATTCATTCCAGATACACAATATAACCATCCCTCCCAAACAGTGGTCACAAATCAGTCCAAGTGTATGGTAGTGGGCACATCTGCTATATTGAGATAATCCATCCCACCTCACAGGTGTGCCACATCAGGATGCTGATCTGACATCATGAGTAGTGCACAGGTGTACCTCAGACTGCCCACAACAAAAGGCCACCCTGGAATGTGCAGTTTTTTGCACTATTGGGGGTCTGGGGACCCAGAACCGGTCAGTATCTGGTGTGACCACCATTTGCCTCATGCAGTGCAACACATCGTCGCATGGAGTCTATCAGATTGTCAATTGTGGCCTGGGAGCAAAAACAAAGGTGTTGCGTTTATATTTTTGTTGAATGTACATCCTCTATACTTGCTACAGAAGAAAGTGGTATGAATGGTTCATAATGTTAAATATAGAGAACATACAAATAATTTGTTTATAAAATCGAAATTGTTGAAATTTGAAGACTTAGTGAAATTACAGACATTATTATTCACGTGCAAGGCAAAAAATAACACATGTTTGTATTGTGTTCAGGAAGTGGGGACAGTAGAAGAAAGTTTGACTTTAAGTTTGCTAAGACCACACAAAGGCAAATGTGCCCGACAGTTAAAGGTATAAGAATATGGGATTCTCTTGAAGATAATCTCAAGAGTTGTACAAACATGCACCGTTTTAAAATGTGTTACATACTTAAAAGGATAAATCAGTATGAAGAACATGAAAGTAATTAGGGCTAAATGTGGAAGAAAAAAAATTTCATTGCCATTTAATGCTGTATATGGCTGATTATATTGATTTGTTGTTTAGTTTTGCATTGTTACATAAAGATACATGTTAGAGGGTTTTTTTGTGGGGTATTGGCGCCCTCTTGTAAGAATATTTGGATTGCAGATAGGGGGCAGGTGCTAACAAGAATTTATTCTTCTTCCTGCTCCTTTTCACCCATGGGTGCAGTGTCATATTAATGGGAAGGAGGTTCTGTATGTAGGAAAAGAAACACTGTTGAACCATGTGTGAAATAAATAAAAGAAATGAAATGTGAATCTGTAACTTTTATACTTATATTATTTTGAGTGCTCAGTATGCAATTAACTATTAAAGCGATCTAAAATTAATTACAGTCCCCATACCATTTGCTAGCACAGGTTTTGTAAATCAACATTTCTAGTCCTCACAGAAGCATGGGGCAGAAATTTCTCTACAACACTGTGAGAAGTCATACAGGAAACTGTTACTAAGTTATTGGTGCTTAAGCTGTTTCTACAGGCTACTGAATCATGGGTCAGTTGTACTTCCCGTGAATCCTGTGAAAACAGTCTTTTTCATATGACTGTAGTCTTCTGTTTTCGAGACTCAAAATTAATTGGAAAGTTGATCAACAAGCAGTTTCATGGCCAGGTACACCTTGTTCCCTTGTTATTTCTTGATAAATTAAACAGATTCTGTTGTTGATTCCAAGTGATGAAGTTGCATTTAGTAGCACTGAAATTCTCAGTATGAGGATTAAAGAGTTGGTGATGCAAGTGATGGAGGCCACTGCTGATTTAAAAAACCAAAATAAGCCTATCAGAGAGAGAGAGAGCAAAACCTTTTGGAGTGGCCAAATCAACAGCCTGGTATTCTTACATTCCTTGGTAAGGAAAACCCTTCACAACATCTAGCAAAGTCAAGAACTTTCTTGAGGAGATAGGTGTATAATTATCATAATCAACAATCTTCACCAATGAAAAAGGTGCAAACCACTAGTTACACTCAGGACCTAAAGAGTATACTAATGAAGCAAATTCAACACAGCCACACTTGCTTTGTATAAGCTGGCTTGACAAAACCTAAACTCCAGTTGGAGAAAGGGGTATTACTACAGTGGTTATCAACTTTCCCTGTTAAGCTGGGCCTTCTGCTTCAGAATCTTTGCACACTGAAATAAAAACACTCTTCTTCTGGACAAAATGATCCCTGTGACTGTACACACTCTATTCAGAGTCATTATCAGATGATAATGATAAAAATCTATAAAGACCACAAAAGTATACAAAATATAACAAAAATTGCAACACTTTTGAAAAAAAGGACAAGCTGCATGTTAACCTATTGATGATAGCTTACATGACTGCTGCACATTAGAGCTCTGAAACTTTAACCTGGATACATTTAAACATTAAAGGTTACTGCCTCATAGCTTAATAACAGAGTCATGGAAATGACTCTGCCAGCTCAGAGTGAAATTTATTTTATTGATTGAATGGTCTGATTGATTTTTTTAGTCTGTGTTCTAGTAGTTCCAATTCAAGCAGTGTAAGGCAGACTTGGCAGCAGATTAGAACCAAGTATAAAACCATCTATACATTTTCTGTGCCCCTAACTGAATACATGCAAATTCCAGTTACAATGCAATGCACAGTTTGCACAGCTTGAACTTGAAAAGCTCATGTACAACTTGATAACTGCCTATATAAAATGTGTTTTTCCAACATCGACTCTATACAGTGCTTCAAAACATGTGGTAAGTAAGTTACCACAGTGATTTAGCTAGCCACTTCTGTGACATAGCTTGCTAAAGCATTAATCTTGATTTATAGTACATCCTTTAGGAAACCCAGAATACTCTTGTGATCTCTTGTGATCTTCTTGTGCTTCCGATGCTTTTTAATGAACCATTTACAGAAAGCTCAAACGATATCCCAGACATGATTATGAAAAACGGCTCTAAAGGCTTTTATTGTCCACATCGGAAACTCTTACATCACTTTGCTCTCTTTAGCCAAGCTATCAATATTTTTTTCCCTTCTGCTATTCATCATTTTGTGTTTCATTGAGTTTTTTAGACACATGACACATGATTGTATAACCATAGGCAACAGTGGTATTGAAATATGGTCAGAAATAGACCCGGAATTGGACGATGGATGTAGGGCAGGAAAATGACATGGTAGAAATGTGTCTCCTTTCTTATCCATCTTAACCTTCCTGTGAAAAATGAACGAGACAGATATTAAGTGACATGTGCATTAATGTTCTTACTTACAAAAGTATTTTTATATACATTTAATGGCGAATATCTGGATTTGGATTTGAACACTTGTATTACAATAGGAAACAGGAGTCAGTACACCCATGTGAACTATTACTTACATGACTTCAAACAGGGTTTTTTGCCACTCAGCATATCTTTCATTACTCCAATTCTTTTTTTTTTCCAATAATTTAATATGCCACGATGTTATAATTTAGACCCAGTCTTCTTTTGCATGGAGAACACTAATGTTGCTCACAGTTTCTGGAAAGAAGTTCTGACATCCCACAGAAGCATTTTTTAGCTGT